GAAATCCATATTTGCCAGACATGGAATTCCTCAGGCTGTGTACAGTGACAATGGACCCTGCTACGGTTGCAAGGAGTTTCAGACCTTTGCTGAGGAGTATGATTTTAGGCATGTGACTTCCAGCCCCCTTTATGCCCAGTCAAACGGTGAGGCGGAGAAAGGAGTGCACATAGTCAAACAGTTACTCAGAAAGGCACAAGACAGTGGCTCAGACCCTTATCTGGCTCTTCTGAGTTATAGGGCCTCACCATTGGAACATGGTAAATCTCCCACTGAGCTTCTGATGGGACGTAGGTTACGCACCACACTTCCCTACACTGCCCAACAGAGGAAGCACAAGGAAGTCAGACAGAAGATGAAACATCTTCAAAAGAGACAAAAACTGAACTTTGACAGGTCCTCCAGAAGTCTAGCTCCACTGGCTAGACATGACACTGTGAGAGTAGAAGACTCCAACACCTGGAGCAAGAAGGCTACGGTGCTTGCAGAAGTCAGTGCAAGATCATATGCTGTCAAAACAGAGGATGGACAGATATTGAGGAGAAATCGAAGGAGTTTGCTGAAAACGAGAGACACTGTCACAGCAGGAAGATGTCACTGCAACATCTGATCCACTACCTCCTGTAACAGACAACAGTGTGTCAACTGAGCAGACCAACACATCACCTGTGCTGAGAAGATCTGCTCGGACTGTTAAAGCACCTGATAGACTGAACTTGTAAACAAGAAACGAGAGACTATTTAAAAACAAAGAGAAAGAAAATGTTTTGTTTCGTTGGATGTTAATTATGTGCTTTTTACAGGTGCAAGTTATTTACGTTATATACTGTTTAGCAGTTGAGTGTTCCTAAATTAGTCTGAATGCTGGATAAATAATATAGTATGTTTATTGAGTTAACTTCTGAAGAAAGGGGGGTGTGGTGATAAGGTGTTATTCCGTCTATCCACTAGGTGGCAGCTTAGGCCTGTGTTGTACCAGTGTGCTACAGTTAAACCTCATAGAGATACATGATAAAGTAGTGTAGAAGAAGACATATTGTTTTGAACATGTGAGAAGACATTAAATGGCTCAGATAGCCAAACCCACATTTCTTATGTTTTATTGAAACATAACAATCGGGATGATATCATATAGTGTGTACCTGGCATTAGTGATTACATTTATTTATACATAACATTAAACCATTCCTTTGAGTTAAACAATGTTACAGCTTCCCTGAATAATAGCGGTACATTGCATATTATCACAATATTATTATTCAATGATCTACATTTGTCAGTACCTGACAAACGTATCTCATGACTCTCCTCACCAGATACATATTCACTTTGATAACCTGGGGCTGTGTTCACAAAGTGTCCTGGTGCTCCGAGAGACAAAATTCTAAGAAAATTCTTAGAATTGTGACGTTTTCTTAGAATTTCCCTTTGAAGTTAAGACTAGGTCCTTGTAAAGATAAAAGTTCTTCACAAAGCATCTTAGCCCTTAAGATAGCTCTTAAGATGAAAAACTTAGGAGTAGAGAGGAAGACTTTTAAGAAGCTTAAGAGTTTCTTTCGCACTGCAGAAAATGGTGGAAATACAGAGGTAGGAGAAATTATCACTGTGTGTTAAATGTGTTGTATGTCATTGTAAAGCGCTGTGTCACTGTTGGAAAAAGTGTAAATAAATAACATGTATAATCATTATTATTAATATTATTTATCTCACGTGTTCATTTGCCAAAATTGCCCCTCAGTTGTGCTGCGCATGGGAGACTCCGAAAGGACAGATCTTTAGGGACCAGCAAGACCCTCTGGCCAATGATGATGAGTGGCTCAGAAGCCGGTTCCAATTGCCACGTGCAGTACTGCTGGATCTCTGCGTTGTGCTGGGCCCGACATTACAAAGGAGCACCTGCAGGAACCAAGCTATGCCGGTCCCCCTTCAAGTGCTGACAACACTGGGGTTTCTGGCCACCGGCACCTTTCAGAGGGAATTGGCTGACAGGTCAGGGATATCACAGCCAACCTTAAGCTGTATTATGCCAGACGTGTTAGAAGGTTTCACTGGTTTGTCACAGTGGTACATAAAGTTTCCTTACACGGTGGGTGAACAGGCCAATAAAAAAGCGCAATTTGCAGCAAAGTCCTGTTTGTGGTGGAAATTTCCCTAGGATCTAGGTACCACGTCTGAAGGCTTGCTTTTGGTTCCAAAGGTACTAAACCAAAAGTGTTTGGTGGAAACAGGCCTTTAGGGAATAGAATTTAGGGAATTCAGGGCTTATATAAAAATGTTGATTAGTGCAGCTACTGCAGTGACCAAGATACATGACAAGCGGGAGATTTTACACTGTAAAAATCAACTCTTCAGCACTCTCTGATGGATAAAGTTTGTAATAGTGTACCCGGTGGGACTGTCATCAATCCTGTGAAGTTTGGGGAAAATTGGACCATATAAATTGGAGTTACAAACCACTTCCTGTTGCATGGCAACACCCGCAAGGTTAACACCTTGCCACGGTCACACGATTTGATGAAAATTCAAGCCTGTTATAACTTTTCTTCTTCAAGGTCTTTTGGTGGGACAGACCAATGTTTGAAGTCAATCAGATAAAATCTCGAGTAGTAGTTTATTAATTTATGAGCACTGGAAATGGGCAAAAATGCTCAAGTGGCACAAGTAAATTCAAAATGGCCGACTTCCTGTTGGGCTTAGAGCATGGCGCCAAGAGGCTTTTTTTTGTAGGTCTTTGAGAGTTACATGTGCCTACCAAGTTTCAAACATGCAGGTGAAACCAGCTGCGGGGGCTGCAGCCATCTTGACACATCGAAACTCCAAAAATCATATCAGACAACAGAATTTTGGACTTTTTTGGAATTTTCAAGTATCCCTTGCCACTTAAAACTCCACCACGGTATTAGCACTTGATGTAAAAACTGATATGAAAAAAAAAAAAAAAGAGCTTTATTTTTCAGTATAATGAAGGTCTAAGGACTTTTTATCAGCAAATTTGAGGTGGGTCTGATTAACCTCCTAGAAGAGGGACATCAAAGAATGAAAAAAGGAATTTTCTGTTGCCAATAGGTGGCGCTATGAGTTACAGCAACTTTTCTCATCATGGCAAAACATCATAATTCGCCACTGCACCACGGCCATGCCCTTTAACAAAAACTCAAAAAACAGTTTCCACAATAAAGCATCGTCAAGGTCTTATGGCATTTTTGACCAAGTTTGAGGTGGATGTGGTCAACTCTGTAGGAGATGTACATCAAAGTCTAAAACATGTAATTTCCTGTTGCCAGTAGGGGCGCTGTAACTATCACTAATTATTGACATGTGGATGTGTTCAGCACAGGACTGTGATCAATCCTGTGAAGTTTGGGGAAGATTGGACCATGTATGCTGGAGTTACAAACCACTTCCTGTTGCATGGCAACACCCGCAAGGTTAACACCTTGCCACGGTCACACGATTTGATGAAAACTCAAGCCTGTTATAACTTTTCTTCTTCAAGGTCTTTTGGTGGGACAGACCAACGTTTGAAGTCAATCAGATAAAATCTCGAGTAGTAGTTTGCTGGAGTTGTAAACTACTTCCTGCTTTGTGGCGAGACCCCTAAGTTTGACGCCTTCCCACGGTTACACAGTTTGACCAAAACTCAAGCCTTTAATAACTTTTCAAATTCAAGGTCTTCTAGTAGGACTGACCAAGGTTTGAAGTGGATCAGATAAAATCTCTAGGACTAGTTAATTTACGACACCTGGAAATGGCAAAAAAAAGCACCAAAATTGCAATTGGTAAATAAAAAATTGTGAATGTACTGATGGGTTTGGAGCATGGCTTCAAGAGGCTATTTTTGTACGTCTTGCAGTGTTACATATGCCTACCAAGTTTTTTCACCAGTTCTGATATATCCGCAAAGTTTCATGAAATTTTGAGTATGTTAAGCCTCCCAAAAAGGCAATTCATTGGGGATAAAAATAATAATAATTAAAGCTGAGATGAACGGGCCCTCGCACCTTCATGCAACTCAGGGGTGCTGGCAGGATGCCTGCTGACGCGGCAGTTCATTTCCGTCAAAAGAGAGAGAGAGAGAGAGAGAGAGAGAAAGACAAAGGCGGGTGTGGTGATCAAAGAGCAGTTTGGCCTACAAAACAAAATGGCTGGCAACAGAGAACTACAAGATGGCCGAATCAAAGCTAGCTTCAGATCGGGGGAGGTGTTTGTCTGACCGTGTGGTCAGGACAAAGACAAAGGAAAAGAAGCGGGGACTTTGAGATGCCTGTTTGGGTGTAGTTCTGTTGAAAGCCTATTTGTTAATGAGTCTATGTGAATATGATTTGTGTTGCAAACAGCCTGGATTAGTGCAGAGTTGTTTAGTTGTGTGCAAGAATCTCGTTTCTTAGTTCCTGTTAGTACACGTGCTGCTGCATTCTGAATTAGCTGGAGAGTTTTTAAAGACTTATTAGAGCTACCTGATAATAGGGAATTACAGTAATCCAGCCTTGAGGTAACAAAAGCGTGGACCAATTTTTCTGCATCTTTTCGGGTTAGGATGGGCCTAATTTTCGCAATATTACGCAGATGAAAAAATGCAGTCCATGAGATTTGTTTTAAATGAGAATTAAAAGACAAATCTTGGTCAAATATTACTCTGAGGTTTCTTACGGTAGTGCTAGAGGCCAGAGCAATGCCATCTAGAGAAACCATGTCATCAGATAAAGAGTCTCTGAGTTGTTTGGGGTATCACAACATCTGATCTTTAAGGCTACAAAAATGATGCACAAGACATCTAGAACATCTCCAACTATAAAAGCAAAGACTTAAAAATATTTTATACAGAGTATATACCATACTGTCAGAGTAAAGATACTTAAAGGGGAACAAAGGCAAGGAAAACTGTGTGTTATGGGCAAAACAAGTTGTGAATGTTGGCTAAGTGGGTACAGAGCACAGTCCGGTATTCAGTGTTTTGCATATGAAATGTAAATTTCGGGTCAGATAATTGCTCCACTTACCTCCACTTGTCACTGTGTCCTTATATCCTTTGCCTTTCTAACAAGTTTGACTTTGAGTCCTTCCTAGTCAGTCATTCCTCATTTCCTCTGTTTGTCAATTATTCCGTCAGTGTAACTTCTTTATATTATTTCCTTTTCCTTTACTTCCTTTTCCAGACCTTGTGGTCTGTAAAGACCTAAAGGAAAATGTTCTGCTGCGATGATGTCTCTGCAGCTGCAACAAAACAGTCAGAGCTTTCCTTTTGTAACCTCAACTGCAGCAAAGGATTTTTCCACCTTTGTCAAGTGATGATGAGTCATAAACTGTGAGCTCAAGTCTGTTCCTCAGTTAGAATCTGTCGGTCTTCCTTCCATTAGAAGTGACACATATTTTCGCTTGAAGTAATTTAGCAGTAAGCCACGGCAACGCCCCTTTCCCCTCCCCTTGACAACAGGGAGATCATGAAGGAATTAGACAGAGGCTCCCAATCCCCCCACCTAAACCCTTGTCCCCTGCGGTCCCCCTGCATCTATCAGCCTAACTGTCTTCCTTTTTGCCTCTGCTCTCCTTTAGCCAGCCCAGGACTCCATCTGTGGAAGGGACTGGGAGAGCTGATCAGTGCATGTGTTTCAGTAACATCACCAGTTTAGAGCATGTGAATCTTGACGTGTACTTAATGAGGGAAGCTACGTGAAAGACTGATGTTTACCCTATATGTTCTACTGTTTGTTTTACCTTTGGTTCAACACTAAAGCTACAGAATATTGATAGATTTTTAATTGAGGTGGCCGTTTGTGTGGTAGTGTGATTTAGTATGCCAGCCTCCCAAGGTGCAAACAGTTAAAAAAGTTACAAAATAGTGACACTTTTGTATTTGCTCCCATTTTTCACAGGTTTAAGTAAGAGATCGAAATTTTTCCATGCACTAAATAGATGTATTTCTCTCAATTATCTCAATTATCTCTCAAAAATTAAAAATCCCAGTTAGTGAGCTCTTCTCCTTTTCCAAGATAATCTATCCACCTGACATCTGTGGCATATCAAGATGCTGATTAAATTACTACGCAGGTGTCCTTTGGCATGATCACAATAAAAGGACAGTATAAAATATGCAGTTTTATCATCACATTTATTAGGATTTCATATGACTAGCGCAACAGAAATGCATTTTTTGGTCATAGATACCCCAAAGAATCAAGCTGAAAACACACTGATGTCTATTGCCGATCTCCAGAGCTATGAATCGCCAGGCAATATCTTTATAATAATGGGACTGTGGGTCATTAAGCTCGGGATATTTCTCAACTTCAACCATGAGTCTCTCCTTATCCATTTTTTGTCACAAACGAGACACAACAACAGCTACAGAGTTCTCTTTGCATCTATGGAGAGGAGACGAGTCAAGCTGCCATAGGAGCAGAGGAAAAGAGCTTCTACAGGAGTTTGTATGTACAAGTAGAGAGCAAGTGGCAGATAAAGCCAGATCTGGCACTGGATTATGATGATTTGCTGATATGCATTCTTATAGGGGTATTTTTAGTGTTTGATGTAAGAGACCATGTCCCGCATGATTGGTTGTCACCCACGCTTGTATCCCCCCCCCCCCCCCCCCCCCCCCCCCCCCCCCCCCGGCCAATGAGAAGAAGCTGCATGCAGCGGCCAGCCCACGTGGGGTCTGTGCGTTTAAGCGCTCCCGCCCCTCCCGCCCTTCCCGCCCCATATAGCAACTATTTCAACCTCCTTGATAGCAACAATTGACACACTTTAGCTAATAGGCTCGTTAGAGATGACCTGCGCCTCGCCTGCAAAGTCGACGAGATGAGGCAGCCGCAGCAGGGGGCGGTGACAAAAAGTTGCAGTGAAGTCAGAGAGCTTCCCCGACAGTTTCCAGTAGCCTTCAGTCCGTACAGGAAGTCACAGACACACTCACATCCTGTCTGGAATGATGTCAGTTCATTAAAAAAGTGATCAGACCCATATGTCAGTTTGTTTTCAATCTCCAGTTGTTTTTATTATGATAGATTAATTTATTAAAATGCTTTATGTTCATGGTTTAACCTCCATTTTACATGAATTCTCCTGTAAATCAGCATCATATCAGTTTGACCTGTCCCCTCAACTACTGTTGGTTAATATTTTCAGGAAAAAAAATACAAGACAAAAGCTTTCATTAAAGATCAGTCCGATACAGTCAGGGCTTCACATCTGTACAGATGTTATTTTGAGAATCCTCACATCCCACTGACTACAAGTCCCTGTGTTACTAAATACTTCAATAATTAAAACAGTCCAGTGTTAATATACAGTAGACTCTGTATAGTTTATGATGAATGTATTTAGTCTCTGATGACTAAACTTCGTGCTGGGGGTGGGTGTCCCACATTGTCCCTCACAAACCTACTCCTTGTCCCACATTTGTTTTATTGGGACCTGGTCACCCTAAGTGAGAGTCCCAAAGCTGCACGGGGAACAGAGTGATAGATGTCCCATAATTGTGTATAGCAGTGGTGCAGTGTGTCATAATCCCTGGTGAGACATGTAATGTGTTGTCTGTTTTTCTGGCAGTTTTGTTTGTCTACTAACCAGAACAAACAAGGAAAACAAGGAAAAGTGAATAGAATGGACTGGATTTCAATTTAACCCCATCCTAGCCTCATTCACACTCCTATGATCCCTGACTCCAATAGCAAGAGAAAGACAAGGTTCCCCAGGTTGAATTGGGGATTTTTAGTCCATTTATTCCTGTGTTTAAAACATCTCATACAACAGTCTACGTAAGCTAAGATGTTTATCTGTAAAACGAGGCAGGGATTTTCAATTCAGTTTGCCAAAAGCAGAGGTGGAGTTTGGATGTTGTCATAGTAATTACTGGTTACATAACACTTGGCAAACACTTTCAATAAATATTCAGTGACTTTGTTTTTAATTTTATCAGTGGATTTTAAACAGTGTCCTCTGTCTCAGAGGTTCATAAGGGTGAGGAAGATAATTATCCTTTGAGATATATGGAGAAACTCTAATCTTTGGGAAGTGACGCTCATGTTTATTTGTGCTTTTAGTTTAGCTGTGAAAACTTTTACAGGGAAGATTCCACATGGTTTAATGCCACTTGTTTAAATGAACTGTATTCCAATTTGACTCAAACGTCGACCTCATATTTGATAAAAGAAACTAAGAGGCTCTACAGTGCAATAACAACATTGTCACTAATTCAAATCCCTAAAGGAAATATTATGATACTCATTTGAGTGCCTTTGTGCAAAGTAGAAACATGCCTCAGAGCATATCTAGATGCAGCAGAGCCTGATACCAGAGCCATGACTTTTCTCTTCTTTATTAGAATTCTTCCTCTGTGTGTTTTAACAAAGAGAAATTCTTGTGTGTAATGACTTTTGTATGTAATGCAATCCTGTGTCTTTTCCGTCCTGTTGCTTATAAAGGAGGACATGCCCCAGCCTGTGACTACTCTCCAGTCTGTCTTCTCTATTCATGTGCACATTCTGCTCTGATGGGCTTGATAATGACTTACAGCTACAACCGCTAGGCAGCAAGTAGTTAGGAAAAAAAGCAGTGGGCTATGAACCATTTTTCCTGCTGCTTCATTCACACCAGGGACATACTTGAGCAGAAATAAATGAGTTAACTCTCTGTCGTGGGCTGCTAAAGCAACAAATGATTTACTTAACTGTTTTAAACAGCTGGAGTTTGGTTGGACTTTTTCGAGAAGGTGTTTCTGGCATACAGAAAGTGATGCATTTCACAATTATGCAGAATTAGGGTGAGTGTTTTGTCTTCTTTTGTTTAATCAAAACCTAAGCTCAGACAAATATGTCAAATCAATGGTTCCCTCTAGCTTTCATCATCTCAGAAACATTTCAAAGATTAGCCCATTTCCTTCCACCAAAAATGTGGAAATTGTTAGCCATGCCTTCATAACAATTCAATTAGACTACTCTAACTCCTTCATCTCTGGCATCAGTTAAAAAAAAAAAAAAATCCCGTCTTCAACTAATCCAAAATTCTGCTGCCAGGATTTTGACTCGAAGTAGGAAACATGAGCACATTTTACCAATTCTGGTTTCCTTACACTGGCTACCTGTTGCATTCAAAATAGATTTTAAGATGTTATTGATAACATACAAAACCCTGAGAGGCCTCGCTAAGAGTTACTTACCTGATCTGTTATTGCCCTGTTTTTTTCCTCTTGCACCCTAAGATCCTCAGATGTGTCACTCCTTGTCTTTCCCAGGTCCAGCAGTCCAGGTGACAGTCTGCTATTCAGAATTGCTATTTCCTTAATTTTATTTATGTTTCAGGTCATTTTATTTGGGTGTGAATGCTAAAAGCATTGTTATTATAATAATTATTAGTATTATTTTTATTATTATGTTACAGAAAAAATCTTTATTATTATTATTAATATTATTATTCCTCCCACTTTTTTGGCCTTCAACTCTATATTATTCAACATAGAAACTTCATTCAAACATCAAAATATTAAGCTCACTTAAGACATGATCACTATGACTTTTTTCATTTATCCCTCCCTTCATACTTTTTTCCTGGCATTTTTCCCCATTCAGGTAGATGGGCAGTATGTTCAAACTTGGCAAAAATTCATGGTTTTATATTCATTTTCAAGTTCTATCTCCTCATGCATACATTCATGTAGAAACTCCATTCAAACTTTAAAATGTTCAACATCTTTTATACATTCTGGCTATGATTCAACTTTCAAATCCCAATTAAACTGGTTTTGAAATATTCAAACTTGATTGGAGCTTTAGTAATAATGCCCTTTTCAGGTTTTGACATTGGTTTGTATTGGATGGAATGTTCAGAGCTAGAGTGGTAGTAAAAATTGTTAGAGTGGACAGCAATATTTCTCTGTCACTCAATGTCATGCCCAGAATTTTCACTTTACATATATTATATTTGGTCAAAATGGAGTAAAACTTGTGCTCTTTCACAAAATGTATTGCTGTCATTTAGCTTTTTAATGACATTCATACTAAATAGACCCATTCTGCAACATTTCTCTGTAACTCAATGTCATGCCCAGAATTTTCACTTTACATACATTATATTTGGTCAAAATGGAGTAAAACTTGTGCTCTTTCAAAAAATGTATTGCTGTCATTTAGCTTTTTAATGACATTCATACAAAATAGACCCATTTCAGTATTTAAACTATTTCTATTACTTTACCTTATTCTTAAACATTAAAGTAAGCAAGTCAGTGTAGTATCAGCTTTTCAAAACATCTTAAAATATTCTGCATCAGTCATACGTTAACAGTGTTATTCAGGATTTAAAGCCAGCATTGCAGTGTAGTGTCAGCTTTTCAACAACCTTTAAAATATCCCAC